AAACAGATCTGTGGAGTTCTATGTTATCCTATAGTGTGTTAATCAGATACAAGGTGTGACGGAAGCCAGTGACAAAGGGGACCCCTGATAGGGAACAGGCATGCTCTGATAATAGGCCAGTTAACGCTTCATAATGTTTCAGTGGTTCAACAGTAAACAAAGCTGGATGTAAGACTTCAAAAGGGATGGCACATTCCATGCAGAATCAAGCCGTACATCTTCCAAGATGCTCCAAGATTTATGGAAACTTGAATGCTTAAGATAGTAGTGTCAAGGGAGCATACCATCCACCTCTAAACACTCCTCTCCTGCTACAACTGAACTTGCAAGTTTGAAAACCATCAGAGACAGACTGCACCCCTGCTTACACCGTGGCCTACTAGCCAAGAAGGCTGGCAGACTTCACTCTGCATGTGGCTGTTGTAGTTTTGTATTTCATTTGAGGAAATTCATTGGGTAAAGAAGATGCCTTTCAAGTGAAGAAGGCTTTTAAAGTGGCTCAAAATGAATCCCTTCAAGGACCTTGTAGACACTAGGACCATTGAGATTGCAGGGAGTTGCTTTTCCTTGATTGATTGATTTTTGTTACCCAGTTTTCACTTTTGTGCCAATATTTACTTGGACAGTTTTTTCCATAATTGTTCACTCCCAGGTATTTTTGTACCAACCTCTGGAGAAGCTAGAGGCTTCAGGAGGGACTGTTGATTTAGACCCGCTGGCTTGTGCTGTGCAGCAGATCCGTTTCTGAATGATCATAATGATCCCTTCTGGTTTTAAAACCTATGACCCCTGCCAAACACGGATCCTTGACAGAATTACTCTTACTATGATCTGGTATGGTAATTCCAAAACAATAATCTGAAATGGATTTTGGAAATATTAGAAAAGCACCAAAATTACCTGAAGGCAGTTGGGGAAAATGTGATTTAGATCATAAAAAAAAAATGTGCACAATTCACTCGAGAGAGGTGGCCCGGTCCATGCCAATTTAATTCATCGGTTCAGCTGCCGGCTTTAGCTCCTCAGGGCTAAAGAGGCGTATTTAGAGCAGCAGGTAGTTTGTCTCATGGAGCTTGTTGCAGTTCATGTGGAGTGTTGAATTTCTGAAAGAAGCATATAAAGAATATTCTGTTCTGTGGACGCTATTTTTTTTACTACAATAAGGGGCTGGGGGAATTTAAATTGATATCTGTGGGATGGTTAATAAAAGTCCTCATGTTCCTCTATTATGTCTGTAGATTTAGATTTTTCCCCTGCTAACTCTGCAGTTGGGAGCTTAGCCATCACCATTGCTCCAATTGGGACCTTTTGAAACTGAATAAGCCAGTGTAACAAATAAGTTTTCTACAAATTAATCTGATTTGCTGTTTGTTTAGCTTTTCCCCTTCTTGTAATCATCATTTCTGGGAATCGTTTTCTTGGGATTTACAGACTGGCCGCTGGCAGTTACAAGGTGTTTCTCTAAAGCTTGAAAGGAGCTTAAGGCTGCCGAGGGCTGATATAATAGACAGTTCTGGCAGACACAGCACGGGGAATGTTTCCAAGATGCTGGTCAGATGTCATCGCTGAGAGTTGGACCCTTTCATTTTTCACGGGTCACTTTATAAATCTTCTGCGGGATGAGCTTACCTTTTCCAAGAAGTTTATTAATTTTTCACAGCTAGTTCTAGTTTTTCAGTGAATTAAAAGTGAGGGTGCGATGGGAAGAAAGAACTCAACTCAGCCCAGCCCAGTGCTCTTTCACCAAGGTGGCATTTTTATGCTTCTATCCTGAGCTTAGGTTGCAGTTTGGGGATTGACGCCAGCAGGGCCTGCAAGTGTTTGAGAGCCAGCCTGGTGAGCACAGAGCTGTGTGGGAGACCTGGGTTGAAATCTCAATCTCTTGCTTGCCAGATGGAGAGGCATCCCAGTGTGGTGAGTTTACATACAGACTTCGGAGATAAAAATCTTAGATCTGTATTTTACGAAGTGTAAATGCGCACCACAAATAGGTCCATAGAGCCCAATGCAGGCAGCTGTTTGTACTGATGTTGCATCAGAATGGAAAGTCAATATCCGGCCTCGTGCCAAAAGAAAGAAACTGCCATTTGTCAAGTAAAACTAAGGCCTGATCTCTGTTTCCTGAGCAATAAAGGTTTGGATGTCGCACGAGGCATGGAGGCGCACGGTAAGTTGATAGGTTGTTTTCAGAGATTCACCTGTTGTGGGAATGAACACATCGCTTTAAGGCATGTCTAGATAGAAAGAAAACCTTATCGCTGGTCCATGCCAGCTGATGCAGGGTTCGGGCTGTCTCGCTGCTGGGACTCCCTTCTACCTCACAGACATAGGCCAGCCATGGGTGTCTAGTTGCTGTGTAGATGTACCCTTAGGGACTGATCCAGCATCTGTTGATATCAGCGAATCAGGTGTCTAGGATATGGAGAGGACACGTTAGGCTTCCATTGTGGAAAAGGAATGTCATGAAATACTATTTCTGATTGTCTTTTCTTGCTACACGTATGTTGCAGTCGACAAGCCTCTGACAAGGTTGTTAACCGCTGTATATCACGTAGCTATCACTCAGCTGTGAACCTGGGTACAGATGTGATAGCTGGCTGTGGAAATGCACACACATGTTTCTTGAGTCTAGAACGAGGCCTTTCTTTCCAGTAGTGTTAGCAAATGTCAGCATGTGGCTTATCGCTGAAGAATGACCACCAATGCTATCTAGCCCACCTTGGATTTAGCTCAACTAGTCTGATTTCTTTTTCCAGACGAAGAAGAAAAATTTTGAATTAAAAAAATCTTTGTAATTCAAAAGCTTGTGCATACCACCAGCAGAAATTGACCCCATAACAGATATTACCTCCTCTTGACAAACATGTTCTCATTGAAAGGGCACTTGTAAAACCAGCTTTACATTGTCGGGAAAGATGTGTACAAGACAGTTCTGTTGCTTCCTCTAAACCAGCACTATCTTGCAGCTCATTTCAACATTGATAGACTGGCACTTTTTTATAGCAGTCCTGTGTAACCAGCTTTGGGAATCCTGTCACTAGGGGTAGGAAATCAAGTTTTACTAGGCTGTTCATTAAATAACCTAGAGATGATCCTGAATCTTAACTCCGTATCTGAACACCCCAAACTTCCAGAAAGTTTTTGAACCAGATTCAGATTTCATAGCTGGCCTTCAGTTCCACAGTGGACTGCTCCTAAACCTCTAAACTTGGAAGTTCAGTTCAGGTCTGAACTTTGAATCTCTTCTAATACCAGTCTTGCTTGTTTTTGTTGGACACCGAGTATTAAACATAGGGAGCAGGTCATGGATTCCAAGGTCTTGACTTATCGGAATAGACTTGGGGGATGCTAAACAGAAAATTGCTTACAAATTAGGGTGCAGCCACATAAGTTTTGATAGATTTTTATCAACATCTTTTGAACCTCTGTTTGTTTTCCAGCAATTAACTCCTAGTGAATTTTAAACAGGAACAATGAACAGATATGTCCAATATATTTTTATTATAATAACCATAATAATCTCTGTTGCAATTGGCATAACTGTCTCCTTGTCAGCAGGTTAATCAAAAACTGTGGAGACCAATGTTCCCTCTAATCTCTTCCATCCGGGGTGGATTTTTTTCCATCCGTGTGCAGAATGCTTTTTTATGCGCACTGAGGCATGTGCGAATGTGCACCACCACTACAGAAACAAAACCTAGCTGTGCGTGCTCTGCTAATCAGCTGGGCGGCATTTGACGCTCTCTGTCTTGCTCCTAAACGAGGGTCTGTCAGATGGTGTTGAGAATCAGTGAGGGCTAAGAGAAATTTGTACTGCTTCCATCTGTGCTGTACCTGCTGTGGAGAAAGAGAATACTATGTGATGTCATGCTGCCTGGAGTGATTCATGGCCGGGAGTGCCAACCTCAGGGCAAACTGTCAAAAAGCAGGAGAAACATGCCAAACTGGTGGTGCTTCATATTTAGATATCACCAGCCCTAGAACAAATGTGACCCAGCCCGGACTATGGTAACAGTCCCCTTGGGCACTCCAGTATATCTTACCACCCCAGCAAGCTGCACTTGGTGGTCACTAAATGGTCACTTATTACCACAAAATATTCAGTCTGCTTTCAATCCCAGGAGACCAGGCACTTACCCCACATGTATTTGTACCTTGTCTCTGGTGCACAATACAGCACCTATAGCCAATCCTCTAGTAAACTAAGGCTTTATTAACTCAGAAAAAGACATGTGTTGTTTACAGGTCAGAGCAGGTGACCTATCTGCACAAGTGAGTCTGTGGTTCCAAATGTTGAGAGCTGTTGTAATCTGTCCACTAAATGTCTTAGATTTGCCCTGGGGATTTCTGCTTTTGTTTCTTAGCTCCAGGCTTTGTAAAACTCCAAAGAGCAAAGAGAACCATTTCTTGTGAGCATCTTTATATGTCCTTTCCCCAGAGTTTAAGCCTATGGGACAATGGCTCCTCCATGTAACTTCATGGGTGGATGGAGCAGTGAACACAGTTTCTCTACTGTGGCCCATTTAATCTTGATAGTACTTCTTGGTGGGCAGGGAGTCCTCCTTCATGCCTAGATTCACAAGTTTTGAATTGTAAAGCAAAACTTGCTTATTCCCTTATCACACATGATACAGATGCCACAAGTAAGGTTAATGCATGCAACATGGTTCAAGCATTTTATAGAGTCTGAACATTCTCACAAGTCTAACCCTGAACGACGATAATACATAGGTGAATCAGTCTGTTTTCCAGCTATGAATCTGTCCGTGCGTAGTGGATGCCGATTTCTGCTATGCCAGCATTTCGCATATTGGCAACATGTTGTATTATATTTCCAGGGCACCATCAAGTTAAACAGAGGATGTCTGTCTCTGAGACTGTGAAGCATGTGTCGTTAGCTAGCACTAAGTGTGTGTCGTTAGCTAGCACTAAGTTTGTTCTCCCCTCCCCCACCATTTTCTCCAGTGCCTGGTTAAAAACCTGCTTGGCATTTTTCACAGGAATACGATGAGGAGTGGGCCAAGAAGATCCAGAGTGAGAAATTCCGATGGCACAACTCTCAGTGGCTGGAGATGGTGGAGAGCCGGCAGATGGATGAGAATGAGCAATGCCTGTATGGGGATGACCGCATTGAGCCGTACATCCACGAGGGAGACATTCTCGAAAGGCCTGACCTTTATTACAATTCAGGTAAGGCAGTAGACTAAGTTCAGCATCTGTCCATGCTTTCAACGTCTGCACGGGGGACCTGATTTTCAACTGTAGTGGAGCTGTGCTTACACATCAGCTGGGGAGGGTTGTTACCGTCTACTTCATACTAGCTTATTCAGCAGGCTCCTGGATGTGTAAAACTGGCCCAGTCTTGCGCCTCACACCTGTGTCTTGTGACCATAGCTGGTTTGCTTAGCAAATGAAGCCAGCGTTTTTAGCCCTTTTAGCCCCACAGCAGTGCAGTGATGGGAGTTGAAGTGGGGTTCCATTTTGCCTTGTGTGTCTATTCAAATCCAGTGGTGGCATATTGGTTTCTGAGGGGGATGTAAGACTTAGAAAGAACCCATCTGGATTTGTAGATCCCGGCTTTTGCTGGCAGCCCGAAAAATCATCTTTTGACTTAGAGATCTGAAGAAGAGTTCTGTATAAACTTCAAAGCTTGTCTCCGGCGGAAGTTGATCCAATAATAGATATTACCTCACCCCCTCTCATCTGTCTAATATCCTGTGAACAACAATACAAACAACTGATTGTCCCACACAGAGACTATATCCTAGGCATTCTTGTTGTTTTCTTGTCTGAGGAAAACCTTGTTTAAAAGCTCTATTTTTATGCTTTCTGGCTTCCATTTTTTAATACATTTTTTTCCTTAAGAAAAAATATTTTGTCACTTGAAAATTAGAGTGACTGTGGTCACAAAAATGATGTGAAAGTGGCACCTTCTTACTCAGTAGATTTGGTCCCTGTGTATATGCAGCCAGACTTGGGGTGTGGGTGTGGGTAGGTGTGTTTTAAGTGCTTGATTTTTTTTGTACTAATATCAGGTATGCCCCGCCATAGAATTGTGGAGCTGAGACGGACTATATTCTCTCACATTATTGTACAAGATTTTGAAGTTGCAACACAGAAATTGCCAAGCTGAACCCTTCCTGTCCATGTTGCCTAATGTGCTGTCTCCCATGGCTCTTGCCAGCTGCTTCAGAGGACACTGTAAGACACACCCTGCAGGAAACAGTTTTAGAATAACTTTCCCATAGGAGAAGTTTCTTTCTAACTCTAAATAAAGGCTGATTAACGCCCAGAAGCCTGAAGACTTATATCCTTGAAAACACTCTTGCGGGGAGCTAGTCTTACCTTCTACATAAATGCACAGTCCTTTGCTGATGGTGGTGCATGAGCTCAGTTTGGCTTTCATACCCCAAGTACAATTTGCAAGAAGGGTAATTATTTAAGAGACATCAAACACTTTTCTACTGTAAACTAGGTATGTTTAATCTGAAGTTATTGAGCAAGAACAAACATTGAACCCCCCAATGCCATTTTAGTTACTTTCAAAGTATGTCAACACTATAGTTGGCTGATGTACAGATTTGGTGATCTGTGTTAGCTAGATATTTTTTCCTTTTTGAACACTTGAATTGCACTAAAACTATGAGACAAACTTTGAGCAATTCATAGTATGTTACAGGGGTCTCTTATTCTAGCAATGCTTTTGGTGTTCTGGAGTGAAAGATGTGAAAGCATGCCTGCTGTCATCTCCCCTCTCCAGAGTTTTAAAATAGCCCTCGGCTTGCTTCAGTGGACCATTTCTTTTCCCAGTACTGAGAGCAGAGTGGAACCAGTCAGTTTGAATTACTGGCTTTCGTGCTACAGACGTAACATCATTTGAACAAAGATTTTTGTGTTGGAATTGATATTTGATCGGGGGAGGAGGGGCAGGTTTCAAATGATAGGTTTTGCAGCTGTTTGAGAAGTCATTTTGTTCTTTTAAGGTAGAAGAGTAAGTGATTATATGCAGAATACAGATTCACTTTTTCAGTTTCCTTCTGGCAAGGGCCACTAAGGATATGTTCCTGAAATCTGATCACATTTCAAGGACATATATACACACACACACAGTGTAACTTTGAAAAGGCTATGGATTATTATACCAACTGGCATCTCTTTTTTTTTTTTGTAGTCGTATAGATTTCTGAAGGACTGACTTTTTGTTCATAAGGTCAAAAATCAAAACTTCAGTCAGAACCAGCTTATTTATGAAATTACATTATGATACTTTTATGGATGATCTGCTGTCTGATTGGCCGAAGCAAAATAGTCATCTCTTCTCTCAACCTGTAAGAATTCTGCAAATCACTAACATAATCTAAAGTAACTTTCCAAGCATTCAGTGTTCCCTGTGTTTGAATATGCACATCCCTAACTTACGTTAAGTAAGTGTGACTGACAACAGATACCGATTAACCTGCAATAGCATTCTGTGCATCTGACATTATGTACTTTTATTTTCCTATAAATTCATGTGTTTATTGGCAGTAACTCTGATTTTTATGGTTTCATGCTAGTGTTGTTGTCTGAAGAAACCTTAAGCAGTGAATGGTTACTTCAGTATCAACGTTAAAATGTAATGCTTTTTCCATTGAGAAGGATGAAAAATGTATTTTGGTATTTAATAATCCTGGTGTTGAGAGAGAAGTTTGGCATAAATCTGTATGAAATTACTTAATTAGTATATTTAAAATTTGAGAATGCCTTTAGTGCAAAGTTGCTTATTCTTCATCATATTTTTTGTTTAGCAATTCAGATAGAGGAAAAGAGACTTAATATCAGTACTAATACAGTTAAATCTGTTTTTCTTTGAAATATTTTATTCCATTATAGCACACTTGTATTTTGCCTCTATCGGAACAATGTGAAAAAACAAGATTATGTATTTGCAAGAATATTTTCTTGTCAGGTTCTAGTCTCTTTCATGCTGCACACACATGCATGCAATTAGCTGTAGGCTCTCCCACTGCATTTTACACTTCTCAAAATGCTGTCTGATCATGGCTAGCATGTTTCATTTACAATCTGTTACCTTGCCTTCAATCACTTTCCCATACACTATTATCTTCTAAATGAATCTCTGTAGCACCTCATCAAATGTCTCTTGGAAATCTGGATGTGTCAGCTCTATTCCTTTTATCATTTGTCACTACATTATCTTTAAAAAAAATCGGGTAAATTTGTAATGCAAAGAGAGATTTGTTTGAATGCTTGAGTCCTCCTCTTTAAGCCTCTGTGTCTGTAAGTAACTTTCCACTGCTTCCTGCGTAGGCAACTTTAGTAGCTTTGAAACCACAGAGGTTAAGCTAAGTGGCATATGAGTCCTTGGATCTTATCTCTTTTACTTTAAAGTGGAATGGCATTTGTTACTTCCTCGTCATTATGAATCCTTCTGTCCTCTGTTAAACTATTAAAGTATCAGCCAGAATGCAGCTGTTTCTTCCATGGTTTTTTTTTTTTTTATATATTGGCATGCTTTCTGATCTGTAAGACTGGGACTCACTTCTAAATGCTGCTTCAGACTTTTGTTGTTACTGTATATTGTAATGGAGATAGCTTTGTTTTCTCTAATAAAGCCTGGCTCTTCTCACCAGGTAAAGAACTATACCCTTCTTATTATCAACGGATGTACCAAGAAACTAAGAATAGCAATAATGCTAAGTGGTGCTTTCATTTAACTGAAATAAATCTGGAGCAGTGGAGTGACTGGATTTACACAGGTTCAGCTTGTTCTTATCAGATATGAAGCTTGCCAAGTCCGTTTGCAGTAGCTTCTTCACCCAGATGCAGAAGCCTTCAGACCACCATCCAGTCTGGTCAGAGGGCAGTTCTCAGTGGTGTGTTACGCTGTCTTTGGCCATAGCCACATGTGGGAGCCTCTTGTTGGCCCCAGGTGTTAAGGCTGGCTGCACGTTGGGCCCAGCCCAATCAAAATTGATTCAGAAGGACCCATGAACAGCGTGGTAAATCAAAGCCAGATACATGCCTGGTTGGTTCAGTTAAGAGATTGGTCTGCAATTGTCATTGGAAATCATTCGTCAAACCACCCTGACACTGAAATCTGGGCAGGGGTAGGTGGGCCCACTATGACCGCTTCAACAAGTACGTTCTTGGGTCCTCAGATGTATAGTGGTAGACTCGGGTTTGCCCTGGTCTTCTGGCTATAACATCCTCCAGGTGGATGTATGGAGACGTGATGGTGCTTAATATAGGGAGCCATGATATTGGGGTAGGTAGAATCATCCCACTTACAGTGCACATGGTTCAGGGGAGTTGTGTGTCAGCCAACTTGACATGGGATGAATGGAGCCAGCGAAGACCAGAACAGAGTATTCGGCTGTGAAGTACCAGAGGGCTACATTGGATGACTGGAGAGTTGGAAAGTTTGTGCCCCGTGAATTGGCAGATAGAGTTTATTAGATTATTAGACTATTGTCAAAGGTCCTTGCCGTAACTGCAGTTTTCCGCTGGTGGTTGAGGTTTGTGAGAGCTCCATCGAGGGGTGCTTTGAGAGAGATTGGGTGGAATTCATGGTTTAGGCAATGTCCATCGAGTTCTTGGTCTGCTCTGGCATTGGGAAGGTGGACCTCACTCGAAAATGTCTTAGTCACACTGACTACAGTAAACACCAACGAATAATATAGCAGCACCTTAACGACTCACAAAACTACAGTATTAGCCGTCTTAATGACATCAGTCTTTGGGATATCGCCACATTTTGGGAATGACTGTGCTTGGACACTTAGACAATGTCGTCTGCATATATGAACACCCGTGCAGGATTGGGTAAACGGCAAGTTGTATGTGAACCTGTTGAAAAGCATTGGTGCCAGCACAGAGCCTTGTGGTAGGTCGTTGGTTTCTTTTCCACGTGCCACTAACTCTGTGTCCCATTCATCATGCATCTGAAGAAGTGGGGTGTGCCATGGTGACATCTACATTTTTTGTTGGTCTCTAAGGTGCTGCAGAACTATTTGTTGTTTAAGTTTTTTCTGTCTCCCATGTGCCTTCAGAAATGTCTGTTGCAGAAAAGATCAACCATGTTGACTACCCATGCTGGGAGTGCTCTTGGCAGTTTGGCAAAGAACCAGATGTCTGAACCACATGTCCCAGACTGTGGCTCCTGTCTTCAGGTTTTTCTGAAAGCCATTTTGTCAAAGCAGCGTTTGATCCTAGCTGCTCCAGCCTTTCTGAAAGACTGCATTGAGCTTTGACTCTCTTTCTGGGGAAGGATGAGATACTCCAGCACAGGGCATGAGTTGATTGCGACATTATGTGGCTTTTCCCTGGTTTCAGGAGAGCAATGATTTTTTTACATTCATGATGTCTTCGGACGTTGCTTTTCGTTGACTATAATGTGAACTGTGCCAGCCACTGGTGAGTACAAGCCTTGGCGTGCTTCAAGAACTCTGGTGAGATACTGTTATAGCCAAAGCAGGGCTTCTCAGAATATCCCTCCGAATTTGGTCTGACTTAGTGGTGGGAACAGCTGTATTGACAGGTGGCACTTCTGTGATGGAACTGGCACCATTTGTAATGAGCTTGTCAGGCTTGTTCCTCAGTTGGGGATTTTAACACATTCCGGAGATAGTATAACTGAGAGGAAAGCTTAGTCCATTAGATCCGGCTCTCACCTGTAAACCAGGTAAGACTGAGATTCCTTGAAGCGATCTTAGTGACTTTATTAACACGTGTACCTACTTTTCCCTGCGGTGCATGTAAAAGGAAGTAAGATAATAGAACTGTCCATTTCCTAGAGTTCCCCAAGAGCCGTCACGTGAAATTGATGTTTAGGTTAGTCTTACGAGGCATTACACTTCTGTGAAGGTGCAGAAAACAGGTCATGAAGATCTGCCTCAAAAAGAAGGTGGAGAGGGATAGTGGCTGAGGAAAGAAGCCAGATGTTGCCTCCCCATTTCTATTCCACTGACCTGGAAGTTGGTGTGTGGCTCTTTATCACTTCTCTGCTGGTCCCACTCCTGTGACAGGATGGGCAGGATTGAGCCTGGTACATCTCTTCCCGTCCTGCTGGCAAAGGTGAGAGGGATACAGCTCTGAACTGTGGCTCTTCCCAGGAGCTGGGCATTGGGCTGTGAAGTCTACTTCAGGCTCCAGCAAGTCTCTTCTCTTACTGTGCCAAGCGCTGGCCTTGTTTCTTGCTGTTGGTTATTGATCCCTAAACTCACACAGATTGCTGACTGGAGCGTGGCTGGAAGAAAGCAGCACTCGCTGTGTGGCCTGCTTTGCTGACACCCCTGGCACGCTGCTATTTCTCAACCTCTATTTCTCGTTTCTTCATAGATGGCCTGATAGCCCCTGATGCAGCTGTGAGTCCAGATTTCTTCAATGATTATCACCTCCAAAATGGAGACTTAGTCGGGCAACATCCCTTCTCCAGCAGGTAAACCCCTCTCTCTGGGAAGCATGTACGTAATCAGAAAGCTACTCATTCAAGTTTCTTTTTAGTGCTTGATTTACATTTTTTTCGACTTGAGTAACCTTTTTTCCATTCCAAAACATAAGCTTTAATAGGGTTAGATTTTCAAAATGTACTTAGGGGAATGATTTACATCGAGAAAGCAGGTTTCTGGAAATCGCAAATAAAAACTTCATGGTGTTTTGTCACACTGGAGGATCCAGTCTGCCTTTGAATTACACATTTCTTTTAACACATTAATGAATGCGTAGTATTTCCTGATAGCTTTCCAAAGGCAATAAAAATGGAATAGAAAACTAGAGTGCACAACTCATTACGTGTTATGACAATTATTCAAACACTATTCAGGCATCATTGTTTGGAAATGTCTAAGGAGACGCTGGGGGATTTGATTAACTAGGAGAATTGTTTCCAGTATTCTTAAGCTGTTAAAAATAAGTTTCTCAGCTGTCAGGATTGTTTCCTGACTTTACTCAATCTTCCTAGCTAACACTCCAGCTAGATTACTGATGTCATCTGCTTTGAAAATCTAGTGGATGGGTGAAAGATGTCTGCCTTTTGGCTCGACTAGTAGATTCCTGGAGCTTTTGGAGACATTTATCTGAATTGCCCTTCTACTCTGACCTTTTCTCCCATGTCATCGGAGCAAGCTGTTCCACTTTGGATTTCTGGACTGGCTTTGCTCACAAGGTCAAGTAAGAAAACACCCATTTTAGAGAAGACGACCCTTCCCTGTCCCTCACGACATCTGTAGGGTTTAGGAAAGGCTTTATTTTATGGGACGTGTATGCCAAATCGTGGCAGATAGGCACGTGTGACCGGGCACGCCAATAGAAGGATGTACTTAGTACACTGTGTAGTAATCCTGTGGCATTCACTTCAACAAGAAATTGAGACCTGCTGCTTCCCCTTGTGGACTTGTATTTCCCCCCGCCCCAGGACAGAACTGCTAAAAACTTTAGTAGTTAATTGTACAGTGTAAACAAATCCCGACAGGTAGAGTTTAGTGTAAATAAATCCCAACATGTAGCAGTATAATCTGTTTGGGGAAATTCTGTGATTACCTTTTCCCAACAGGTGATGTTAGGTAATAGATTGGGCTAGGTAATTGCACTCCTTTTGGAAGGAGACCCTCGTGTAGGTGTTTCACTTTGTGCACCTCTTTATCTGAAATCCCACCCGCATGGCTATTTGACATTGCTCATTTTCCAGGCGAGCCCCTTCTGCTTCCTTGTATCTTGATTGGAGGAGGGATTCTTGCCACAGAAATGCCTGCAAGCCAAGCACACGCAAGGGCTGACAATTTGGTGACTTCCCAAGCATGGCTCGGCTAAGATTGTTTTGCAACATCTTTTTTGCAGTGTGGTGACTTCTTTGCAATCAGTTTTTTAAAATGAAAGCCCTTGTCAGAGATTGTGATTAATTTATTAACTTTAAAATGTGTAAGTCTATTAAAGTCTGTGTGTGATGGAGAAACTGAAGAAAAGGGATGCCGGATACAACCCCCAGAGTCTTAGGGTATGTTTGCACAACAGTCGAGGGCAAGCTTGCACACTGCATACCTGACAAGCGTTCATATGGCTAGCAGTGAAGCTGTAATCCCATGGACTGTACAAGCTCAGCTGCAATCCTGGGTAATTATTTGGGCCAGGAGGCCACACAGAGGCATGTGTTAACTTCTGCTTCACTGCTCTGACTCCTAAGCTAGCTCACCAAATGAGAGTTAGCTTGGACGTGCTACATGAGTTGTAATCACATCTCTGATTGGAGTGTAGACGTACCTGTGCAATGCGGCTCTTAGCCATTCTCAGTTTGCCCTATGGAGATGACAGGACGCAGTTATCCACCTTGACCAGCTGGGATCTAGCTGGAATGTCAGAGGGACACGGTTCCCACTGGCTGCATGTTCCTGTTAAAGATGAAGATGGCCGTGGGCTGCTTTGTTTTTGGGAAACTAGGAATAGCTCCTTCAAGATCCTGTAGCTTTGCCAATGAAGCCCTTGTTTGGGGGAAGTTTGGGCATCTGAGCTATCGTCGATTGCCGAGCCTTTCGTTTCAGCCTTCTGTCAAAAATGTACATTTGTGAGGCTTTAAATCTGATCTCCTTCCAGCTAAAACGATTGGTAAAACACCTCAAATATATTTTAAAAATTGAACGTATTTGTAGAATGCCCTTGTTACCTAACCACAAGGCATTAAAGTCTGGGGACCCGTTTAAATGGAAAGAATAAATACAAATTGCAAACTTGATAGCAGCCCGTTGTGTAGGGTGCAGGCAAATACATTCTGATTTCCAATTAGGATTCTGTTTCTGGGAGTGCTTTTCAATACGATTGTCTCTGGAATTATCCGCCATATAGGGAGACAACCTAATTGGAAACAGCCTGTGCTGTTCGAAATGTTCTGACCCATTTACCACACAGAGGGGCAGGACTGTTTGCTAGCATAGACACCGGCAGTCGGGCAGCGAATCCTGGTTTTCAGACGTGTGTCATTATCGTTTTGAACTTCTTGGCACAGGAGCCAGGATTTCCTGATGCTCAGAGCTAATGTAAAATGCATTAGCGCTCCGAGGCATGAGCAACAGAATTGCCAGTCCCATGAGTTTGGAGATTTCAGCCTCCCCAAATTTGAGTGGGTGTTGGAAAGTGAAGTCGTATTTGCAGTACTGCCTGATTAAAAATAATAGCACTTAGTCAGGGCTTTTTCATGTATTCTATAGTGTACATTTTATCCATGCCATAACATAATTCCAGGGTATTTTTATGCTTATGTTTTAAAGATAACAAGAACCGTATGCTAAAAATACTTTTTCTTGGAAACCAGTTCCAGCTTGTAATAAACTAGGGTTTCTTGGTATAAAAGGGTTCATTTTTCTATTAATTATTGGATCGTTTTCAGAAACTAGTTTAGCAAATAGGATGTGAAAATTGTAACAGTCCAAACTTTCCTTTTTTAAAAATCATCCCCGTTCAGTTGCTAGGAGAAGGAATAGCCAGCTGATGAAATGATGCGTATTTCCACGTGGTTTGAATCTGTTTGCATCAAATGTATTTGTTTGTGTTGTGCTTTGACTGGCACAGATGTTCTGGAGTCAATAGGAAGAATTCTGTTCACTTGGGGAAGGAAGGTGCTGAAGGAAGGGTCCAGATCTATCCAAATTAAGACCATCCTGTGAAATCTGAGGCAAGTAACAACATTAAGCTTAAATGAGTCAGTACCACTTGGGTGTGAAAAAATCCATGTTTTCCTTCGCTTTTCTGTAGTAATATCACACAGACTCTTGAAACCCTACAGATCCTATTACCATGAGGTGCTCTGTCCCTGCAAGTACAACAAAGTCCTTGGCTCAAGGAACTTGTACACAAATTGGATACAAAGGGCTCATTTTTCCATGACTTTGCACCTCTAATGCTTGTATGCATGATGACAGGCCCAATTGGTATTGGTGCCCATGGTGTAATAGCAAAGGAAGGCCATACTACAGTTTACGTGCGTGGTGGTAGCCAACAGTGACACCAGGCCAGGGGGATTTGGTGACCCCCCCAAAATTAGCATAGCTGGGCTCCAATTGCCACCCACCTCTGCACCAAAAGTTTCCAGCATAAGATAACTGCACAAGGTGACCCAGTTTACACCGTTATCAAATCATGAGACCAGCCTTGTTACAGAGAACAACCAGAGGCCAAGAGGCATTCATTTGACAACTGGTTGAGGCTTCAACACACTTTCAGCTAAGGGCCAAGAGCAGCTTCTGCCTCTGGAGTATCAGCCATAAATTTTCATCAGCCCTGCATGAGGGAACACAAGAGGAAGCTTGTTAGTCAAGGCAGGGCCCAATACTGCAGCCACGTAGGATGAGCGTAGCCAGAGAGTCACTATAAAACAAGTGACTTCCTCTCCACTCCTGTGGTCTGGGCTCTGTTCCAGTAGACATCGGGGCTGCAGGCCTACAGCTGCTAAGGGCACTTAGTGAGCCAAGAGCTTAACTGGAATCCAAACTGGATTAGCTACTTAGAGGCCCCTGGCCTGTGTGCCCTAAAGCATAGGACAGGCATGTCTCATTCTAATGGAAATCTAAGAAATAAATATGAGTAAGGACTGTCACCGATCCATTAGATGAAAAATTGTAGGGCATAAGCTGTCTGCCATGGGGGGCTTTGTCCTTCCTTTTGAAGCATCTGACACCGATCCCCATCAGCGACAGGAATACTGTTGACTGATTCCTATGTCAGAGTCTAAAACTTCTCAAGGGGATGCGGGCAAATGCTCATTGGACAAAATTAGATCACCACCTTTACTGTGTTTTGCGTGGCTCATCTGCTGCTCTGCCTTTTTCTCCATCCAGAAGCTTTAGCAAGCAGAATCCTTGTCAGTTTCAGTGCCCGTCAGGTGGAGGAGACCATGTCAGGACAGTACGGCATCTCTTTACTTGTGTCACCATGGTAAAGGAACTCTCACCTAACTGGACCCGGGTCAGGGACCGCCATCCCAGTTTCATACGTTGGCCTGATTCAGTAAGCAGTGAACCTCCTGCTAAGTCCAACACCGGTACCAGCAAATCTACCCTCCCCTCCCCCCCCATAGATCTCCTGGCAGGATCCTCTCGGGAGCCCAAGAAGTCTCCCATTTACACTGGACCAAGTCTTCCTTGAAATCCACTTCAAAAGTCAGATTCAGCTCTGAGCAAGCCCAGCACCTCAGCCCAAGAGGACGTAGGACACTCTAAGTCCACAAGGCTTGACAAGAAAGCCCATGTAAACATTGGATTCCATCGGTGCTGGGAAACAGTTTGTTGGTACTGTCGTCCCTGGCACCTCCCAAGCCTTGGGATCCATCGGCGTGGACAGCGCTTCAACACCGACCTGTGGCACCCCAGGTCTCTGTCCTGCAGAATCTGTTTCTGACGCAGGGGAGCCCACATCCCCTCTCACGGTAGGTCCTGTGACTTCATAGGACTTCTT